ATATAATTATTACAAAAATGCAGATAAAAGAGTAATCTGTTGAATTATTTGACAAATGCTGCTTCAAGAGACATTTCTAGTCAGTTTGCTCAGTCCATATGTCAGCTCGAGGTTATGTTCAACATTTTTCTTCCTTCAATGGAGCACAGACTTAACCAACTGGCACCAAAATCAAGCTAATCTTTTGCCATTGGGTAAAGCTCACCTCTTGTACTCATCACTTTAATTTCAAATTCGTTTTTTCTGTGTTTTTTGTGGTTTCCTTTTATTTATTTGATGCGTTGAGTTCCAGTGCAAGGAAATTCTAGTTGTGTTGTTACCAGGGTTTCTCAATGTAGGTATTATCCAACACAAAAGTGTTTTCCTCTTAATTCACTGGAATTTAGTTCTTTTCCAAAGCTCCACTTTAGTGATTCCACCATATAACTTATACAAATCTAATCTGTGCATTAACTAGTTAATGAATGCAGAGTTTATCAGTGCTGATTTTTAGTCAATCCTCATGTTTCTACATTATAGAGCAGTATGGACTTTTACAAAAAATCTACACAAATTGCATTTTGGTTATATAAGTAACTACATGACACATACATTTGAGAAATACATACTCTGAGAACTCAATTAACACTGTATATTTCAATAATAACCCTAGGGTTGAACAAGATAATTTTGGAAAAAATTACTACTACTACTACTACTGATTTGATTTTAAAGTCTGACATGTCCCATCATAATATTTCTAGTTTTATGGCTGCCCATAAGGTATTGCAAAACCATAAAAATAGTTATTATACTAATTAATCACAATTTGTTATTATCATCTGCCCCTTTATGGGGCAGGTCTCCTAGTGAAATAGGTCCTTTGTCTCTTGTTCTAGCAGCTGGGTTTCACATGTCCTTTATGCTGGATAGGACAAACACTGAGGAATCCTGGTAACAATACAACTTTAGTTGTGCTTATGCCATTCTCAAACAATATAAAGAGGTCTGCTGCCAAACTACCTGCAGCTGAAAATAACCCAACATGTTGGAATTTTGAAACTGCATTCATAATTTATAAGCCACATATGTCAACCATGGGCAGAGAATTATAGAAGACTATGGTGCTCACCTTTACCTCCAGCAGACCTGATTCAGTTATAGTTCTTTCTCTTACAAATTTTACATAAAAACAACAGGTGGGAGTTTGATTTCATTTCCAAGTAAATGCATGTATTATTTTTCTCCCTCATATTTTATTCTTTGTTCAATCTTTAGTACAAACACTCTTTCTTTCTTGCATACCCAGTTTCTCTTACTCAAAAACTAACTTATATTCTTCTTTTTCTACTATTATTCTTTCTTTTTCTTTATCTTTCTTGTTCAAATATTTTATTTTTTCTCACACCCTTTTGTCTCTTATGGAGAATGAAAAGTGTTCATGCTAGTGGTGCATCAAGCACATAAGAACCTCCCATTTTCAAAAATGAAGATGAAGTCAAGCTGATGACAAAAAGTGCTTAATACAACACAAAATCTGACAAGGAAGCTCAATGCTTGGAATGGAAAAGAGATGCACAAATACAACCTAATGTTTCGACCAGTCTTTATCAATAGAGTATTAAATACAACAGGTATTATGAATGCAAATCATCTGCAGATCTGAAGGTAATGGCTTCAGGTACTGTTGGAGCCAGACTTTTTTTCCCCCCAGAAATAACCTTGGCTCTCAGGGCGACCCAGCCTTGAGTGGGTATCAAATATAGTCTTGGGAAGAAAAGGCAGCTGACGTGGTACTGACCACACCACCCACCCAGTGCTGATTGGTGTAGCCCTATATCCCCAATACACCTGAAGACATGGACAAGTGAAGTGTTCTTTATCAATGCAACAACACTCATTGACAAGACAACAGAGCTTCTATACAATCAAGGTTAAGATAAAACCAAGAAATTGGTCAAAAGGGAGTATCGGGCATGACCTATGAATTTAAATAATGCAAAAAAAAAAAAAAAAAAAAAAAAAAAATACATGGCACAGTTTATTGCCAGGCATATTCCTCTGTATCTCATTAAGTGCATTACTTCATAGGTTACATCAACATATAATGAAGCACAGCATCCTTTGGATATTTTCTCCAGGTCACACTGGTGTGTTGGGAAATGATCAGGCAGATAGACTGGCTAGCTTTGCACTACTTGGTGGTGAATTGATGTATGACAAGTTAGATATTGTGAGAGCCCTTTGGGAGCGAGTGAACAGTGCGGAGGCGCAGATAGATCATTACAGTCTAGAGAGAGTGATGCTTGGAGGAGTTACAATTGGATCTGGCGGACGCTCAACACTCAGGGGAAGGATGAGACGGGTATACAATCAGACGGTTATTGGTACCACTGAAATTCAGCTTGCTGCTGAAGATGGGGACTTAACACTTATGGGAGTGTCCCAAGTGCTGTAATGTCAATTCCTAATTCAACATTCAAAATAATGAAGCACAACAAAAAACTGATTATTTCCACTGAAATACACAAACCACACTGTCTCTTTTGATACACTGTTCATCTAATCACCAGAAAATCACGATGGTATCATGTGACTATCTTGATATCGTGTGACCATCCTGATCTTCTGGTGTGTAATTGACAAACATTTTAGTCAAAACCTTGTATATGTGTATCTTCCCTTTCAGCATGCTTAATATAAGATTTGTATAGTTTCAACACAAACAGTAAAATACTAACATACTGTAAACACATTTTTTAAACTACATAAATCATTACAGAAAGAATTTATACATATAAAATGAATAAATCACAGTCAATCAATGGCAACAACTAGTAAAATACCAGTTTTAATGCCTTGTGGCCTATAGGATAATGTGGTCAAAATAATTCATGCTGCTTTCTCAGGACATTTCAAGGTACCTATTTTTAGTCACTGTAAACCTAGCACTCAACAGCAAACATGTGGCTACTAACTGATGTTGTGTCAACCTGGCACTCAGCAGTAAACATGTGTGTGTATACCAGCTGTTATTGTGTCAACCTGGCACTTAACAGCAAACATCTATGTGTCTACTAACTATTGCTGTGTCAACCTGTAACTCAACAGCAAACATGTACGTGTCAACCAGCTGTTGTGTCAATCTGGCACTTGACAGCAAACATGTAAGTGTCTACCAGCTGTTGTGTCAACCTGGCACATGACAGCAAACATGTAAGTGTCTACCAACTGTTGTTATGCCAACCTGGCACTCAACAGCAAACATGTAAGTGTCAACCAGCTGTTGTGTCAACCTGGCACTTGACAGCAAACATGTAAGTGTCTACCAGCTGTTGTGTCAACCTGGCACATGACAGCAAACATGTAAGTGTCAACCAGCTGTTGTGTCAACCTGGCACTTGACAGCAAACATGTAAGTGTCAACCAGCTGTTGTGTCAACCTGACACTTGACAGCAAACATGTAAGTGTCAACCAGCTGTTGTGTCAACCTGACACTTGACAGCAAACATGTAAGTGTCTACCAACTTCTGTTGTGTCAACCTGGCACTCAACAGCAAACATGTAAGTGTCTACCAACTGCTGCTGTGTCAACCTGGCACTCAACAGCAAACATGTAAGTGTCAACCAGCTGTTGTGTCAACCTAGCGATCAACAGCAAATGATTTTACGATAGAAAATGTGCTGCACATAAACAGCCCCACAGAGCTGCGTGGCAAGGTCAAGCAATTTATTACTAGGGCTAAAATCCATATATAAAAAAGTAAAGAATACCCATGTCATCTGTGAAGTAGTTTCCACTAAAGATAAAATCGAGTAGAATAATCAGTGACTGCACACTAAGGAAACAATATATCCACCATGATAATGATACAATGCTATCAAGAATGTCTAATTATTCATAGTCAATGTCTAATTATTCATAGTCAATGTCTAATTATTCACAGTCAATGTCTAATTATTCACAGTCAATGTCTAATTATTCTTAGTACAATTTCTATCATAATCACAACCACACTAATATCTGTACTGCTAAAAGGACTGCATTCTCAAGTTAAAGGGTTTTTGTACATGATATCAAGGACGGCCTTACTTTTTATCTGCAGATTCCCCCATGGGTCCACATAGCACCAAATAGGAAAGACTGCTCTACAGTCTTGTATTTGTGTGTACAAAGTGGGCACAATTGGGCAGTCTGTAGACAAAGTCTGCTTGGTGAGGGTTAAATGATGTATGTGGTTTCTTCTTTTGTCATCTCACTGATACTAGGCTAAAGCCTAGCTGCATTCTAAACATTTCATTCACTGTCTGTCAATATAATTCAGGCACAGTCTTATTCCAACTTTTAGCCCTATCCTTTCTTGTGTCAGTGACCTTAGGGAGACAGCACAATTCACATATAATTTTCTGTTCAAATGCCCGATTCAATGTCCATGTCTGGCACTGATAGCATAAAATAGGGTTGAAGATATTAATCATTTGCTTTTTTCCTGAAAGGGAGATAATTGGTGTCTAAGCAGTGGGGTCAGGTCACAGCACCTGCCTTCAGTATTCTGGCTTCTGTCTCTTTATCGAGTCTGCCATCTTCTGTATGTGGTTTTCAGGTAAGAAATGTGTATTCTGCTCCTCCATTGTCAGATGCTTACTGCGATATCAATACTGGACATTTATTTGTAAATCTCCTTCCCTATGTCTCCTGTAGGCCATCTTCGGTTAAACCAAGTTTATTTACTGCTGGTACAAGCTGCTGGGCTGTTGCTGCATAAGGCTGTACTTGTCCTAATCTATTCTTTGATAGAAATTCTACTTTAAAGAAATGAAAATTGCTGCTGTAATGGGGTTAATACCCATTATGAAATAAATTTTTGCAAAGAAATGAATTTTCTTAATCATGTGAATTTTTAAATTAAATAAACCTCACTACAGTTAATTTTTATAATGAAGTCAGTCATATTAGATAATGTGGCCGTTGTCTCTTATTCTAGAATAGGTAAAGTTAACCGGGCCAGGAAAGACTTCATTATTCGTAATAAGCGTCATACCACAATTGACCAGATTTCTTTAACATTCTGAAATACAGAAATAAAAACAAAATGAACCCCCTGTGTACACATACAAATAATGTATCCTAAAACAGTGCCAGTATGTCTCACTTGTGTATTTACATATAATCTATACATACGCGGAGCCAAAACTAAATAACAAAACCTGAAATGCAATGTAATCCACAACTTACAGAGTGTGGGGTTAACTAATTTGCTATTTAATCTGGCCAGTCAGATTCATCTGTTATTGGCAATGCCAAAAGATAAAGTAATTCAGGAAAATTTTAGGACCTAGTAGTAGTAATTTATACAAGATATCCTGTTCAGCCCATCTGGGTTATGATTAGGATACAGCTTAACTAGCTTAGGTTCTCACCAAATCTAACTCTGACCTTGACCTACTTCATCAAGATTAAAAAAAAATATTGACAGACCCATGTAGACTTTACTTTCTGTAATAACATTTTTTTGGGTGTAAAAAGGAAGTAGAGCTCTGAAACTTGCAGCACAACTAAAAGAGATGAAGCCTTATTACAGGTTTTTGAAAACAGTCTTACGATGAATCTTTGGACGCATCAAAGTGCAAACACATGGGAATGGAGAGTGAGAAGCAATAATGAAATTCTTAATCTGCTTAAATCACCACTGATCACTAGCATCATGAGAGCTAACAAACTGAACCAGTTGGAGCATACTGAGAGAATATCAGATGACAGAGAAGTGAAAACTGTATACACAAGGGAGATAAATGGTCGTAGACCACAAGGCAGACCAAGAAGAGGATGGAAAGATAATGTCTAGACAGACCTGGAAACACTTGGTGTCACCAACTGGAAAGAGATGGCCAACCAGAGAGATGAATGGAGGCAGGTGATAGCTATAGCAATGAACCTTAAAGGCTCAAAATGCTGTAGAAGAAAAATAAGAAAAAATAAGTAGAGATACCACTGTCCAGGAAGAAAAAAAAAATGAAGAAACAAATGGCCGGTGCAACTGTTGTGACTAATTAGGAATATTGCTGGTACTAGTGTTTGTTCATGGTGTGGATATGCTCTTTATATAATCAATTGCAGAACATTAAAGCACTTGTGTCAGAAGACCTAGCACGCATGAGAATACCCGATGTGCAGTGTCGTCTTTTGTGATAACATAATATAACTTGTAGAGGTAACTGAGTGCAATAAAAGTTAACCTCGTTAAGAATTCTAATAATGGTTTATTAATAGTAAAAACAGTTTTTATTCTACTTACCTCACAATGTCTATAAAAGCTGTAACAAGTGTTTTGTTTCGATACTCAACTCCATGTTTTTTACATAAAGACTGGACTAAAGGTGCCACCTTGTGAAAGCTGGTGCGGGGCATCGTTGGGAACAAACTGGTTGTAGGAAACAAGTAAACTGATTGATTACACACACAATATTTACTTTGTTCAGTTATATACAGACTGTAGCTGCAATAATTTCAATGATAATTTCAATGTAGTTTAGCCACAAAATGGTACTGTCTGAAACAGTCCTTTGGATGCAAATGCAAACCATCACATTCTTCGCAGATAATATGGGTCCTCATGGGTTTACCTCATCAGAACGAACAGCTGACCGCTCAGCTGCAGCTGGTGTAAATTCATCATCCGAATCACTTTGCCCCCAAAATCTAAATTTTCATTATCATTATCACAATTAAAAACACTTGACTGAAACAATTTCAGAGCTTCAGCCACAGAAAGGTGCATTTTGTGGCCTGTACTTGTGATTGGAACATTGGTATCCATGGTCATACTAAGACCAAATTAGAAAATACAGACTGAAAATGATGCTAACAATGAATGAGATCAGTTGGTGCAAAAAATGTGCAGACTTGTATACAAAGAAAAATGTTAGAGTAACCTTCTGTGAATACTTTAATAGTAGTTACAAACATCAGAAATAAATATGGAGCTCAATGCAAATTAATATGTATAGGACACACGATCGATGCAGACAGTGTTTTTTTTGGGCAAATCGGATTTTCTCAATCAATGCACACAGTTTTGCTCAGGCCTTAATGAGTTATAATAACACTTCTGTCTGAAGGATTTAAATAACAATTGTGACACAATTGTGATGCAGGTTTATCAGCTGTGTGAGTTACAGAAAGTGAGAAAGGTGTATCCTTCAAGCAGAAACCAGTAAACACATAGTGTAATGGTGCTAAATATAGGAATAGAATAAGGGTGTTTGATTGGTTAGTGGAATTAGGGAAGTCCGCAGGTTGCAAGACACAAAGTTAGCATAGGAAAGGAAGAACACAAGATATGGTGAGTTTGCTTGGGCAACAAAAGACAACAGGGGTAAGAATAACCCCTAAGTAAAAGGAGTGAAACTAAAGAAGAATTCTGTAAAACCGTATTTATGAGGCCTCAAAAAATTGTTTCGTTTATTTATTAATTTCACAGATTCACAGCCATGTGTTAAAACTGGTGCTGTATAGCATGCAAGAATTCTTTTTCTAACCTCCAGCGACAGACAACTAGCAAAAGCAGCATTTTACAAATGGTACCAACTCTGCAATGGAGGCTGGCTGCAGTGAGCATGTGGAACATAAAACAACATTCAGCTTGAACTCACTGATGCTCAATCTGGTAATTGAGATGTCCCGTGAACCAGTCGTTAAACCAGCCCGGTTCAACATTACAGGATGCCTGCAGCTGCATGTGGACCCAGTCAAGGTTCTTGTTGTCCCTGTCAACTTCATTTGGCAGGTGGCTCATCTGTGTCACCCAGGTGAACCAGTGACTCTCTAGGAACCTGTTTGGGTAGATCAGAGGGTGATGTCATCTGCATCATGTAAGTAGTAAAGTGAGGAACTCTTTTTATGTTTAAAAAAAAAAACCCAGCAGGTGATGTGCTCGACACCGGGCTGGCCATCTTTACTTCCCAGGAAATACCTAATACCCATGTTAGGCTTTGCTGATTCAGAGCCAAGGTAAAATTTGAAGGAAAAAAATCGTCCAGTGTGGACTTTTGAACCTATGACCTTCAGGCCACTAGGAAAGTGTCTGACCTTCACGCCATATCAATGCACTGCCAGAAATTCCCAAAAATTTCTTGGTCACTGTGCCTTTTTTTTCAATTTAAATGTTTCCGCGACACCCTAACCTAAGTAAAAGTATGACTATTCGTTTGTAAGTGATAAATCAGAGGGGTCTGCAAGTCTAAATTACTTGGGAATCACTGATCTACAAAAAAGGCAGAGTGTCTACAGACTAGGATGAGAGAGAGAGGGATGATCAATGCTGATGGCAGACAAACAGGACCTGAACGTTTGACATTGTAAAACTAAAGAATCTCAGTGCTGATGGCAGACCAACAGGATCTGAATAATTTGGTGGGAAGTAATTTAAAGGGGCTGAGATTTCATTAAAAAGAAAAAAAACTATAACGTCAACTTAAGAATGCAGTTCTTTTTGCAATTCTCCTTCTTCTTCTTCTCTGCACACCAGCAGTAAGCTCTAACAGAAAGTCCTGGTTGTTCGTCCACTCTGACTTTAATTTTGTGCCAGGACCTGTGTTTTGTGTGTGCATCCGTTTTACTGACTTATTTGTGTTTGCAGTTGGTTGTTTCTTGCCACTTGGGCATATACACTCTGACTTTGAAGGAAGCCCCCATTTGTAGACTCCTATGGCATGCTTGACGGGGCGGCAGTGGGACAATGACCACTGGAAGCCCAAACAGAGATTTGTTGTGATTCTAATATTTATAAATTATAATAAGTTCTTCAGTATGACTATTAAAAAGTATGTCCTTCCATCTTTCCATGAGTGTCAATCAATTCATTGTCTGTTTTTTTTTAAATTTTATAAAAAAGTAAGGCAACTGTGGCACACGTCTTAAAATCAGAGGGGTCTGCAGGTCTAAACTACTTGGGAATCACTGATCTACAAAAAGGCATAGTCTACTAACTGACTAGGTTGAGAATTAGATTAAAAAGCTCAATGACCAGAGTCTTTATCAATGGACAAAACAAGAGACTAATGAAATAAGTGACAAAGTCAACATAGAACCAAAGAAAGCATATGCTCGCTAGTAACTTTAAAAAAAAAAAATTAAATCAGCTCAATTGCATGCAACCCTATTTAGAACACCCCCTTTGGCTGAGACTAGGTTAAAGTTTTCTCCATGATGAGTTCATTGGTAGGTTTTTTAAACTTGAAATTAACCTGTAATTAGATGGGTTTATTGTTCAAAATGTGCGAAGCTGATGGGTATGTTTGGTTGATGTTGGAGGCAGATATTAAGAAAAACTGCCGTACTTTGGCTGTGACAACAATTAGTCTGAATATGTAAGTCATGGCGGTAACCAAAGCAACAGTCTGTCTGGAGACACAGGGCAATGATTCAGCCAGATCCCCTGATCACTCTCTGCTGCATCATTGTCTCCAGACAAAAATGATCTATTCATGTTTCCACATTGTTCACCTGCTCCAAAACGAACTTCTCCACATCTAGTTTGTAAATCTAGCAATCAACAACCACATGGTCCATAGCTAACTAATCTGTTTGCTTGTATGCTTCCCAAAAATACTGGCAAGTCCTGGAGAACAAATCCAAAGAATGCTAACTATCTGAGATCTCTCAAGCAATTTTTGTCACTCTGCTTGTATCTTTTATACCTTTGCTTGCATCATATCCATGCTTATGTAAAACTCAAGCTTACTCTATACCATGCTTACCTTACGAGAATGCTTAGCCCATAAACATGCTTACCTTACACCCATGTAGAAGGCAAATGTACCCCATCCTCCAAAGAATGGCATATAAGTATAGAAGAACCGAAAGAAGAATCCAACAGTCAAAGCAAAGTCCTGGGGATTGTTAACAAACAATAACAAGAGTTGTCATATAATAGCACACATTAAAGAAATGTTAACGGTAATACTATTCTAAAAAAATAATAAAAAAATGCAACAGGCTCTCAAATGTCCTCTATCCTCACATATCTACAAACAACTTTGCTTTGTGTGGCCAGCTCATGCAAACTGCAGGAAACTCACTTATACAAAAGCCAGAAATTAATCAGACTTCCAGCCAAAACAGCTGAAAGCCAGCTAATGTTCTGAAAGGTTGTCTGTTTCCACCTAGCTACTGAGCTGTATGTTTGGTATAACACTGTGAGCTGTAGACATCATACGGAATGTGGCATATTATATTGCTGATTGCACTAAAATAGTTTGTTGCGGATAAAGTTAAGAATATCAAGTACTTTTGCGGGTGAAAAGTCAACTTTTGTGACTGACCATCCGCATTAACAGTACACTGCAATTCTGGTGTGAGACCATTAGTTTTAACATATCTGACAGCTGTCTTATGCATTTTTACTTTGCATGTGTAAGCTTCAAGATTTTACTGACTGACAAGTTTTCACTAGTTTTTACAGGGGACAGTGAAGGACATATTGTGACACAGGAACGGAGCATTTATGGGGCAGTGATCTTGAAACCTCGACTAACAACTAACCAGACTATCCCCCCTCCTTACCCACCAACACACACAAATCATTTATAGGTACTAATATCATCATCATCATGTGCCCTGGTAATGTTTCACCATCCCATATGATCACTAGAATTATGAATGTGGTCAATGCCTTTGTCCTGACCCATCAATGTAGCCAGGCCATCCTGGTATTTATCTGTTTTTTTCTCCTCTTGCTTTTCATTTTCAATTTTACACATTGTCACCGATTTCTTGAGTCTATTGCTTTTCATAACATGTTAACAAACAAAAAGCAAACAAACAAAACTGACTGTCTTATCTCTTCAAGCAGTTTATCTTTTTCATCTGTTTTTCTTTCTTTTAGAAAGCCACTTAGTCCTTTAAAAATGTTCCTGCTTTGTCAACTTTTTCATAAATCTCCTGAGATGCATAATGCAGTAGTTTTCCCTTGCTTTCAGCATTCACAATGGCATTAGACAACATTCTCAGCCTTTAGCAAGCTCTTCAGTTGCCAGGTAATAGAGTACACTACTCTGCGATACCCCTGCTAACAGGAAATGACATCCAGAAGTGTTGACCCATCATGGTGAATACTCAGTCCACAGAGCTCAGTTTACCAAGCTGTGGTGTGTTTTCTGTTAAGCTGAGATTTTCCCCTCCTCAAGTAATGAGACCCTAAAGGCAAGTGATAATATTCTCAAGCAGGTCAATGAATACAAACACCTTGAAAAAGTTATAACATCTGACATAAGATGTGTTGCATAAATTAGAACAAGAAGGGCCATGGCAAAAGTGGCATTTAGGAAAATGCAAAAGATTTTCACCAACAATAACTGAACTGATCTGTGATTCTGACGAGTGTGTGAGATAGTGAAGCATGACAGCCTACGCTAACTATGGTAATTTCAGCAGTATTAGAAAAACAATAATATAAGATGACTTACCAGCCAGTCTCTCCGCTTAAAACAGAAGTAAATTATTTCCAGATGGAAATATATGGGTAAAAGGAGTGGTGGTCCCACTGAAAAAATACATAATATTTAGTTAATAAATTGCCATGGTCATTGAGTTAATCTGTATGTGTTGATTCCACTCCACCAAAAAATAGGTTCGCCCATTCAGTTTCCGAGAAAAGCTTTTTCAAGTCTGCTCTCTAGGCAGTTGCAGCAACCTGCTGACGAGAGATCTGTCTTCCTGTACAGCAGACTGCCACCATCAAAATGAGCATTGTGCTAGTCTAGGCTGCGATCTCTATCAATCATCATTCTTTTTTGACACAGCACAAACATGCTGCTTTAATGGAAAACATGTTTTTTTGCATTGGAAAAAACACACAAAATAGCAGTCCACGACAGGAGAACGCATGATTGAGGGGAAAAAAAGCAGGCAATGAACACAGTTACTTGCTGCCAACTTGAAAAACTAAAGTGGAGTTTATAAACAATGCAAATAAAGAATTTCAGAAAGTAAATAATGCAAATAAATAAAATGCATTTATGCATAATACACAGAATACTGAAGATGGAAACTTAAGACTCTCACCACTGTGACCTCTGGATTTTTTTTATTGAATTTATGAAGCTTGGTTAACCTGACCGCAGCTGTCTGTTTTTACTGCCTTCAATTACCACTTTCTAGTGCGGCGCAGGACAAGAGGTGTGAGGCTGAGAATTTTGGGCCACGTGGCTAGTGCAGTCTGCCACAAACTGTGCAGGTTGGGAGTTTATTGCCGACATCTCACCAAGGATTTCAACATGGGTCTTCCAAATGAGATTCCAGCATTCTTGACTACTCCTCAGCAGCAATACCAGTATGTTATAACCCATGATCAACTGAGAACTGAACCTACTCCACTATGAGCCAGTGCACCAGCAACTACAAATCTGTGGCTCCAAAAATAGTTGAACATGACAAGGGAGCATACAAACATGATGACATTCAAATTTTTCCAATTTATTCTGAACAAAAGGAAATCTACCAGAACTATATAATCTGCTCAATCTGCTCACAGTTCATTGTTTTGATAGGTTAGTAGGTACATATATTGGTAGGGTGATTCACTTGATAGGTTGGTAAATGGATGTTTGGTCAGTGGATAGGCTGGTAACTCTGTTGTAGGTTGGTAGATGCTTGATTGGTAAATGGTTTGGTTGGTTGGTAGATGGTTGCTTGCTTAGTAGATGGATGATTGGCAGATTGGCTGGTAGTTATGTTGTAGGTTGGTTAGTAGATGGACAGATGATTGGTAGATGGACTAGTGTTGTGTTGTAAGTAACAAGCATGTCACAGAAGGAAACTTATTAGGGGTGTTTCCTTTGAAGACAGAGTGCATCTGTCTAAGAGGAGGGGAACAAACAGTCTGCAGACCTACAAAAAAAAAGTCAGGTCTGTAAAACAGATATGCATGTAAAGCTCAAGTTCTGGAACAGGATCAAAGTCAAGAAGCAGATGAACAACCAGAACTTTCTGCCAGAATTTACAAGTGGTAAATGTTAAGAAGAAGAAGCACAGTATATACACAATTTTGTTTGTCAACAGACTGTATCCAAATGTCTTGGAAATTAACTCTTAATACATCGATCTCCAAAGCAGTATTTCCCTCTTTGAGACTTACTTTCTCAGCCAGTCTGTAGCCTGTTTCAGGACTACTATATGGTGGTGGAGTATTCTTTGTTAGCTCTAATTAACTAACTCTTACGCAACTAGTCAAGCTATAAGTAACTGGTTGCATTTATATCTTTTGCTAAGTTCATCATAAATGATAACAATATCCCCATTGATAACACATGTCCCCAGTGATAATAACAATGCTCACACAAGAAAAAGTAAGCATGCTGCCACTGATAAGGCATAAATCCCCTCTTCCTTTTGCCAAACTCCACCGGAAGCTTGTCCCCAATCAGAAACATAAATGCGATGTTGATGTCTGGATCTTTTCTGACCATGTTTGGTTTGGCGTGGTGCTGGAAGTGCCGAAAGTTCCACCAATGAGAGGATGCCCCCTGGTGAGTACATCACAAGAACAACAAATGTGAAATTAAGGTACAGGAGATCCTAAATACTGAAAAGACTGCATAGGGTGAAATAGAACGGATAAATTAACTACAAGCTCTCTGTAATGTTAATGGCAAAAAGAGGATTATGATGATGATTATGACATATTCTGGTGCACATTCTCTGGGTAAGACAAGACTCCCCCATCAAGCTCTCACAAGGACACAGGAAGGGAACAGAAAACAGGGAAACCGACAGACACTGCATAGAACCACCATCAGGTAATGCTCAACCATGGGCCTAACATACATCAAAGACCCAAAACAAGTGGCAACAAACTGCTAAACATGCGGAGCTATGACCTTTGCCCCATGCGCCGCCCAAGGTTCAAGAGAAAAGACTAACTAACAGACTAATTCTCTGGGTAGGGGGAAACAACTGGAGAAGATGTTAGACAGTTTAGCATCATCATGGCATTGGACTATATCTGTAGCAGAAATGATCGGCTGTACAGAGGACAAAAACCACAGGATATGGACTATGAGAGGGACATACAGATTTATATTTACCCAAAAATATAAAACTTTTCTTGTGATCTATGTCTAAGCAGGATGTAGCAACGCTTGGTGGATCAACTGCACACATCACTAGATTCTTCTCTGTGATTGATTTTTTTATAGGCTAGATCAACTTTGGTGCCTGTAGTGTAAGCATCTTAGCTGATGATAAACAGCCATCCTTGTGGCAGTTTGGTGCAGATGTGTTAGAGACTGACAGTGACCTTGGACATACTGCCCTGTTTGTGACCCACATGGCACTCAATGTTTAGGACAGCTGATATCAAACAAAGAAGAAGAACCAAGAAGGCACACACATGCTGACTGATTGTCTGTACTAGTGTAGTGAGTGACCCAAGTTTTGAGGTTATTGACAACAACTAAAAAAATACTTTTTCGTCTTCTTCTTAGCATTCACCGGCTGTAAACTCCATTGAAAAGTTCTGTTTATGTGTCCGTTTCTGGTTCTTTTTCCAAAACTTTAATTTTGCAAGCACATTCATTTTACACATCTGCTTAGTTGTATGCAGACTGTTGGTTCCTTGTCTTTCTGATAGGTGTGCTCTGACTTCAGAAGGAAAACCCCTAATTAGTCGCCTCTTATAACATGCTTGATACTCTGCTACCCCTCTCTCCCAGGGGCCCAAGAACCCACAGTGAAAGATAAAAATATAAAAAGTAGTTCTTACAACATACTCTGTTGCTACTGTTTGTATAAACCACTTTTTAAGGTGGTGTAGACAGGGGGCCATGAGCTTGAGGATTTAGGGCCGCAGGGCTAGCACTGTCACCATGGACTATACAGGCTTGAGGATTAAGGGCCGCAGGGCTAGCACTGTCACCATGGACTATACAGGCTTGAGGATTAAGGGCCGCAGGGCTAGCACTGTCACCATGGACTATACAGGCTTGAGGATTTAGGGTCGCACGGCTAGTACTGTCGCCATAGACTATACAGGCTTGAGGATTAAGGGCCGCAGTGCTAGTACTGTCACCATGGACTATACAGGCCTTGAGGATTTAGGGCCGCACGGCTAACACTGTTGCCATGGACTATACAGGCTTGAGGATTTAGGGCCGCACGGCTAGCACTGTCACCATGGACTATACAGGCCTTGAGGATTTAGGGCCGCACGGCTAGCACTGTCGCCATGGACTATACAGGCTTGAGGATTTAGGGCCGCACGGCTAGTACTGTCGCCATGGACTATACAGGCTTGAGGATTTAGGGCCGCACAGCTAGCACTGTCGCCATGGACTATACAGGCTTGAGGATTTAGGGCCGCAGATCTAACACTGTCGCCATGGACTATACAGGCTTGAGGATTTAGGGCCCCAGGGCTAGTACTGTCGCCATGGACTATACAGGCTTGAGGATTTAGGCCGCAGGGCTAGTACTGTCGCCATGGACTATACAGGCTTGAGGATTTAGGGCGCCAGGGCTAGTACTGTCGCCATGGACTATACAGGCTTGAGGATTAATGGTCGCACGGCTAGTACTGTCGCCATGGATTATACAGGCTTGAGGATTTAGGGCACCAGGGCAAGTACTGTCGCCATGGACTATACAGGCTTGAGGATTTAGGGTCGCACGGCTAGCACTGTCGCCATGGACTATACAGGCTTGAGGATTTAGGGCCGCACAGCTAGCACTGTCGCCATGGACTATACAGGCCTTGAGGATTTAGGGCCGCACGGCTAGCACTGTCGCCATGGACTATACAGGCTTGAGGATTTAGGGCCGCACGGCTAGTACTGTCGCCATGGACTATACAGGCTTGAGGATTTAGGGCCGCACGGCTAGCACTGTCGCCATGGACTATACAGGCTTGAGGATTTAGGGCCGCAGATCTAACACTGTCGCCATGGACTATACAGGCTTGAGGATTTAGGGCCCCAGGGCTAGTACTGTCGCCATGGACTATACAGGCTTGAGGATTTATGCCGCAGGGCTAGTACTGTCGCCATGGACTATACAGGCTTGAGGATTTAGGGCCCCAGGGCTAGTACTGTCGCCATGGACTAAACAGGCTTGAGGATTAAGGGTCGCACGGCTAGTACTGTCGCCATGGACTATACAGGCTTGAGGATTTAGGGCCCCAGGGCTAGTACTGTCGCCATGAACTATACAGGCTTGAGGATTTAGGGTCGCACGGCTAGTACTGTCGCCATGGACTATACAGGCTTGAGGATTTAGGGCCGCATGGCTAGCACTGTCGCCATGGACTATACAGATTAGAATGTTTAATTCTGCCCCCCACAGAAAAATTTATCACCCTACAAGGAGGCGAACATGGGTTTCCTGCATGAGAACGCAACGCCATAACCACTCAGCCAACCCATTTATATAAGGTCCGACAATTTAGTAATGAGACTGATTATATTACGGCGAAGAAAAAAATACCATCTATGAAGCAAAGGATGGAATCTAAAGAGGCAACATTCATCTATGATCTATCAACTTTTCTCGCTGCTCGATAAGCAGACAAACAAACAAACCGACATTTTGTTGACCTAGTCAGAAGTGCATTGTTACATAATCAGCACGGAGCAAAAAGCTGACATTAAATTCTTTTTAAAACTCAGAAAAAGCTTTACTGAAACAATTGAATTGATGCAACAATTTTATGGGGATAATTGTTTATATCGTGCACACATTTTCAGGTGGTATTCATGATTCAAAAGTGGTGTGGAAATGATTACTAATGCAACTAGACCTGGACGCCAAATTTATGTTTGTAACGATGAACTCATTGCTAAAGTCAAAGAACGGGTTCAAGAAGATCATTGTTTTACTGTGAGGATGATGGCAGATGAATCTGGTGTTAAGAGAGACCATTTGAACATTTTAGTGCAAGGTTTTAGCAAGAAAAAAATTGCTTGCTGGTTTGTACCACATTCGTTGTCTGATGACCAAAAACATCAGCGGGTTGAGCACTCAAGAGACATCATCAAAACAAGAATTTGTGGCCCAAAAAACAATTGTGTGTTCTCAGCCTTCCACCCTATTTCCCAGATCTGTTTCCCTGTTATTACATTCTATTCCAAAAATTAAAGTTACGATTGAAAGGAAGCTTCGTGAACGATATTGATGGCATCAAAAGGGCCGTAACATCGACTTTAAGGGCCATAACAACAGAAGAACTACAGAGGTCGTTCCAGTGTTTATTAGATCGTGCCACTTGCTGTATCAATGCACAAGGGGCTTACTTTGAATAAAATACAGGTTATATCTTCACTGTTGTTTCAATTTTTATGGAATCAGTCTCATTACTTAATTGCCCAACCTTGTATATACATTTCAGATACCTAGTATACATATGTAGAAAGCCAGCATCACTTACTTTCATCAGACCTATGGTTATGTGGTGAAATATATGGGAGCGTCTGAGATCTGGAAACACACTGTGATGTCCATAGTCGTGCTGTGTCCAGCCAGTCTGAGCCTGGAAATATAAACCATTACCAATTTTGCCTGGAAAGTTAAGGTGGCTGGTGTGATGTTGACCACACAACCCACCAACTGTTAAAGTTATCAGGATAAATCTCACTGCACTGGGTTTTATCCCGTTTGTCTCCACCTTTCCCTGCACAACAGCTAGCCACCTGCCAATAGCACCACATAAAGTACAAACTCTATAGCTCCAGCAGCGATCTTCTGCGATCTCCATAAAAACTGCACCTGTGAACTGAACGATGCATCTGTCAAACAAACCCATGACCTTCAGAGCGTGAGGCAAACAGCTTGACCACAATCTATCAATCAACCTGACCTTTCACTCATGCTGTCAAACACCAACTGATCATTCCCACTTCCTGGTGTCCAATCCTTTCTTTCCGTCCACGAGTTTCTGCTTCCAATCACTCACATGCATATTAAGCTCATTTAACCAATACATATAATATAAACACAAATTACAAAAATTCAACTGTATGACATGAGAAATACATACAGAACTAGGGAATAAGACCTCCAGGATGAGTCCCTGACTGAGAGAGGACTGGAATGGAACAGTGGCCAATGGTTCTTGTCTATTTATTCCCCCCATGTAAAAAGTTACAGGACAGTATAATATCTCAGGGGTGTTCCAAAATTAGCAGAGATTTTAGGCAGTAATTAGTTGGAATTGGGAATTCCCGGTACATTACATGGTGCAGAGTGAGTTGTTTGTGATGAGATGGGGGAATTCCTGCAGAGTGTGTTGTTTCTGTGTTTTGTCATCATCATCATCGCATTTGTGTTTTGTCACCATCATCATCAACCACTTCTGCTGTTAAGCGGCGTGGGGAGAATAATGTGCGATGACAAAACACAAATGCACTGGATCGCAGGATCACAAATTATTCCTCCCTACGCAGCTTCACAGCAGAAGTAGTAGATGATATTGATGATGACAAAACACAAATGCACTTGTTTGCAAATTATTCCTCCCCATGCTGCTTCACGGCAGGAGTGGTTGATGATGATGATGATAAAACACTAATGCACTGGATCACAAATTATTCCTCCCCACGCCGCATTACGGTAGAAGTGGTTGATGATGATTACAAAACACAAATTATTCCTCCCTACGCCACTTAACGGCAGAAGTGGTTTATGATGATGATACAACACAAAAACAACACACTCTGCGGGAATCTCTCATGCAAAACAACACACAGCGCCACGTAATGTACCAGGAATTCCTCATCCCATCCTATCACTACCTAATATATTAGTCTGTCCCGTGACCTTTGACATGGGGGGAATAAATAGACAAGCACCACAAAACCAAAAAGAAAACTGCTGATACAGAAGTGTGAAAATCTCTCTGGTAAACCTCTACACTCTAGAGTAGAAAGAAGATCAATTGAGTAAGAGAAATGCATACATCCTCTCCATACAGGCATGCAAAAAGTATTGGGGATCCATGATGGCAAAACTTTGTTGTGGAGACAGGACCTGACTGACTGAATAAAAATGACCCTTAACCACCAACGAATAAGACATGCAGAAAAATTTACACACCTGTGATATAGTTATCATCACCATGGCGATGAGTGTGGTTGACCATGTAACCCCAAAGTATGACAGCAGCAGGACAGCCAACAGCTCCAGCACCACAACATGTAGGAAGTGCCACACATAGAACCATGGCTCTGGTTTCAACCAGCCTCGTTCTACCACCAACTGACGTAGTTTGCGGAAGTCTTCTGTAATGTCACTCTAAATACAGAAATAAACTTGAGATTTTTGGTTTTCATTAAAAGGAATTCTGGATAGTTAGATATCAAGGGCAATGTTTTTTGGGTTATTTTTGGCAATTGTTAGGTTATCAGGTTTTAGTCTTTGTACTGGGAAATCAATTTTTATATGTTAGATGTCAGTTACAATCCTCATATTAACTCTTTGAGTCCCAGAGTTTTAGCAACCAGGACTAACGGATAGAAATGCAATTTTGAAATGTCACAAGTGTAATACATTATCTCTCATCAAATTTTGACTCTATGAATGACTGAAACAAGTCTACTTCACTACTTTCTTTGTCTACCTTCAGACAAATCTGATAAACATGTGTTTTATTCAAATTTGAGGCTTCTAGAGTCATAAATTGTGTTGGTACACATAAAGAAGTCTGCTCAAATGCCATATTGTTTTCAAACAGATACTTACTAACTCAGGAAAACTCACAATATACTATATTTTGTGCTTTACACCACTTTTAAATATAATGGCCAACACGGGTGATATCAAACATAAAGAACAGGAAAGACTATTCAAAACTGCCAGTTTGTGTTTGTATTATGGCCAGTGGTAAATTAAATACTTGTACATGTCATGAGCTGACTGGGCAGCTAGCTAGTATTCAATTAGTGCGTGATGCATTCCTTGGAACTCAAAGAGTTAAAAATATAATAAAATCAAACATTTTTTAAATGAAATAACTTTTATCATTTTTATACTGAAATGTTATGTTGCCTTTGTGAAATATGTTTTACAAACTTTATAAAGAAAATATCTGAAAATCAGATTTTTTTACAATGTCCAATACCACTTCCCATCTTTATATTGCAAATGCCAGAAATTTACAGTTTTTGTAAAATACATAAAATGATCATACTGTTGGAACAATGATAACTTCTTTCTATTCTTCTTCTTCGCGTTCACCTGCTGTAAACTCTGGTGGAAAGTCCTGGCTGTTCCTCCACTTCTGGACTGCAGTCCTGTTCCAGTACCTTAGTTTTGCGTGTACATCTGTTAGACAGATCTGACTAATTTGTATGCAGACTGTTGGTTCCTTGCCTCTCAGGCAGATGCACTCTGACTTCGAAGGAAGGTCCCAATTAGTAGACTCTTACGTTATGCTTTTGGGTAGGCAGTGGGCCTATTTTTGTTCTATATAACTGTGCCACAGAACCCGCATGGGAAACTTCTTTCTATGAGTGCCAAGCTTAGACTCTCGTAACAGTTTAACCTGTGTGTGTAAAATCTACTTCATGTGAAATGAGATCATCAAGGAAAGCCGGCAACTTCTAACAATCAAAGACATAGTGAGAAATGATACTATTAGACAGACTGTGGTAACAACACTGTCTACCACATTCATCGAGAAGCAGTAGATGAAATGGTTTGGTCATCTTGTTCGAACTACCAACACATGCACTACACCTATAAAATCTGGCATGAAAGCAAGAGGGCACTGAAGGAAGATACAGACTGATGACATTAAAGACATTCTACACAGACACAGAATTAAATGAATTACAGTGGCCAGGCTACCCATCAAGCAATGGATTGTAATTTGTTCCTGCCACATGATGCTTAATCATAAAAGTGGAAACAATTGATGGTGATGATGAATAACTTCCATAATATCACTTCCACTTCTTTCATCTTTAACCTACTTCAGGTTACTTCATCTCCCTTCCACTTCTCTGTCTTTAACAATCTTTAACCTACTTCAGCTTATTTCATCTCCTGGTATTTCCCTTCCTTTTCTCTATCTTCAACTATCTTTAACTTATTTTATCTTCCCGTATCTCACTTCTAATTCTCTATCTTTAACCAATTTACTTCATTTTCCGGTATCTTCCTTTCACTTCTTCATCTTCAACCTATTTCATCTCCCTTTCCTGCTAAATACCAACCTTGGCTTACAGTATGTGGTAATGCTCACAGATGCTAAATCAGTACTTGAAGCACTCCAGTTTAGGAAACTACCAGAATTGCAAACACTGCTGACACAACTCAGCGCTCAGCGAAGAGTCGTAATGCAGTGGATACCGTCTCATTGTGGAGTGCCTGGAAATGAGAAAGCTGATCAACTGGCAGGGGAAGGTGCGAAAAAAGAGCCAGATGTACCAGTCACATACCACCAAAAGAAAAGAATAATTAAATCGATCAGGAAACCACCAGCCCCAGCACAAGACGACTATTTTATTATGGACAGACCAGAACAAGTCATTATCTTCCGCCTCAGAACAGGGCACAACCGATTACGTAACCACATGTACACAAAATTCAAGATAAGTGTATCTGCCATGTGCACCTGTGGAAATGTGCCCCAGACCGCAGAGCATGTACTCCAGGACTCCATCGCCATGAACTAACAACGAAAGTGAAATTTATACAAGAGACAAAACTGCTGATATAGATAACTTATTTCAGGCGAACGAAAGAAGAAGAAGAAGAAGAATCTCCCTTTCACTTTTCTATCTTCAGTTCCTTGTATCTCCTTTTCATTTTCCCATCTTCAACCTTCTTCAGCCTAATTAATTTCCATGTACCTCCCTTTCACTTCTATACCTTTAACCTACTTCAACTCCCTGTATCTCTCACTTTTCTATTTTCAACCCACTTCAACTTACCGTAGGTACATCCTGAACATCTCCTACATACAGACTCTTCAGGTACCTGCTCACTTTTTCTTTGTCATTATGAAAGGCCATCCAAGCATCCTGGTAATTTATTCAAAAGAAAAACTGAAATTGGTTGAATAACTCCTGTGATCAACTTCTTCTTATAAAGGGCAGTTGTCCCATTATGCTGTGGTATACAGCTAGGCTGTGCTATCTGCACTTTCAGTCTTCCTCTTCTTAGCATTGTTAACACTGGTAGAAAGTTATGGCTGTTCATCCATTTCTGGACTTTGATTTTATTCTAGAACTTGAGCTTTGTGTGCATATCCGTTTTAAAAAATCTGGCATATTGTATGGAGACTGTTGGTTCCTCCTTGCCTCTGAGGCAGATGCATTCTGACTTTGAAGGAAACACCCCTAATTATTCTATAACTTTTATCATATAAAAACGAGTTCCCAGATCCCACTATAGGGCCCTTCGGACCTAAACATCTGATCTCAGCAAACTCCTAATCAATAGAACATGCCTGCAGTGGGTCTCCATTCCACCCCCAAGCCCATCCCCTGAACAGGGCCTCAGAACCCACAAAGAGATGTGATCAACTAATTATTAAGTGCCTTGTCGACTGGCTTGGGCGATCATGCCTCTTCACAATCTGGGATCCTCAACAGCGAGTATCAGTTTGTGTGCTAACATCTCTCCATGCCTTGACCAAAAAAAATGTCAAGAATTTTCTTAAGCTGTCTTCCTCTGTCTCTCTTTCCACAGATCTTTCCAGTGGTCACAACATGTTCCATTTTCCCTCTTCTCATATGACCAAAACATGATCACTGTCTCTTTCTGATGTTTGTGATAAGTTGTCTTCGAGCAATTGCCTTTTTCAAAACATCTGGGTTACTCTTCTCAGCTGTGCAAGGAATTCTAAATATTTTTCTGTAAAACCACATAACCAAGGCCTCAAGATACTGTTCAACTTGTTTATTAATTGTCCGGGATTCACAGCCGTATGTTTTAAACTGGCTCTATATAGCTTGTGATCAGCTAATACTACATAAATATATTTCTGGGAAACCTCTGAGGCCAAAATAATTTTTTTTTTAAAAAGCTATAGAATTACTGTGTCAGGAATAAAACTTGTTGTGTGTTTAGTTAGCCAGGTGCTGAAGTAAACTTGTTCCTACCGTGAGTAAAATCATTTGGAGGCAATGTTCAATTTCTGCATGGTAACTATAGATTTATATTTTTACATTGCCTTGTATGTGCTTCTATCTCTACATCTGTGAATGTCAGTTTGTTTACTGTACCGTGCTCAGCAGAGCTGACAGATCAGAATGGAACATATTCTTCATGACTACCATAACATATCACCCTGGGGACCATACCTCCAAAGACATACAAAACAAAACAAAAAACACCTAAAACTGTTGAGTCTCAAGACATCATCATCATGTTGTGTCATTTATACACCACACACAGAGGCCAGTACAGAGAGATTGTCAGAAAACCACACACCATAAGGAGAAGAAATACTGACATCCTAAAAGATCTGAAAATCACAGAAATTTTGGTTCATCACCAGCATCTTGTCTCAGAAACCATATCAAACTCCACGGTGGACTAAAATGAATACTGTCAGAGGCTATGGTTCCAGGATAGAGGGACAGGGGCTGACCAGCATGATGGGCCGTAGGAGAGCAGGCAAGAGTCTGAATTCATTTGCGTTGGGCTGTGAAGGACCTGCTTCAAGATGATGAAAGCTTGCAGTTGATTTCCTCCATTCTGTTCTATCGTGTGCAATAGTTTTTTGAAACTGTGTATTGTATCCAGCCCATCATCTCTGGCCTTTCCCATCAACGTTCATCATCGCATTTCTCGTTGACATTCTTGATTCCTCAATCCATTTGTTCCCCATTTCAGTGCCCACTTTGCGATTCTTTGCCTGATTTGTCTTAGAAGGTGCCCAATATTTCTCCATGTTTTATAACTGTTGACAGCGTCTGTGGCTTAGGTGTTGCAAACGGGCTTCGTATTGCCAGGGTGCCGGATTCGATCCCAGCTGTGGGCCTTGTGCCGGTTTCAACAGTGGTATCGAGAAGCTGACCATCAATGGCAATGACAAACTACTGGATATAAATTTTCTTAGAAAAACCACAACAGCCAAAAAAATGCTGGGGTTTGTTCTGCAATGCCCTGTAAAGGATAGACAACTAACTTTGAAAAAAAAAAAAAACTGTTGATACCAAATGCAAGACCATTTGAACAGGTACAACATGCAGAAGATAAAACATGAAAGTAAATACGTCCAAGACTGAATTCATGCATGCCAGCAGAATTCATTGTCAGCTACTTATAGGGTTGATTGGTACTGGTCTGAAGCGAGTCTAAGAATTTAAATATACAGGAAGTATATCGGAAAATGGGAGAACCGATTGGGAGATAGAAACAAGATGCCAACGAGTCAGTACCCTTATATACCAACTGAACCTTTAATAATACATGCAAACATAAGTATGAGCGCTAAGAAACAGATTATAAATTTTCATACCATGCTGAGCTTCCAGTGCCAGATATGGACATTATCAAATGCTATGTAAAATTAACACCTGTGAAATGAGATGCCTGAGAAAAGCTGCCAACTTAACCATCTGAGACGAATTTAGAAATGATATTTTTAGACAGACTGTGGGAATAACAACCTGCAGAAAATTACTGAGCAACAGAAGATCAAATGGTTTGGTCATTTAGTAAGAATGCAGCTACAACAACTACCAACGCAGGTGCTACACATGAATAGATCTGATGTGCAAGCAAAAGGCAGCCCTAAGAGAATATGGACTGATGACATTAAAAAGCTTCTACATTGACATGGAATGACAATAGCTATTGCTGACCATAAAGCAATGAATAGCAAACTGTTCCTCCCCATGACACTTAAAGGCAAAAGTGGAAAATGATGATGATGTTACCAGCATTTGTCCAGACATTTTTCTGATTTCACTGCCTTTCTTTGTAAGATATAAGAGATGTGTGTAATCTATGTTAGCCTTATGACACAGGCAGATACCTAATATAAGATACATGTTGGCATCTTTTCATCTTTCCAGGTGATAGTGTTATATTTTGCTATGAGAAGATATGAGACTCACAGCGCCTGGTGATGACGAGTGTGACTAGCAACATCTGAAAGCAAGTGTCAAGAAAAAGTCTTCCATAATTAGAGCATGGAATTTCAGGACTGTTGTTGCCATCATATATATTTAGTGTGTTTCTTCTCAGACGCTCAGCTCTCATCCTTTCTGCAATCATTACCTTCCTGATTTGCCCCATCCATGCAACATGGTCCATGGCATTTTGTTCCTCGACTCCACCCCAATACCTGTATCATCCATGTCCTGCTTGTACACATCTTTCTATCGTAGTAGAAGTTGGCCTCGACATCTTCTACACATCTGTAATTCCCAATAGAGGATATCTTTAGAGAGACTACCATCCTCAAAACCCAGCCACCTGATGCTTCACAGACTTTGAGAAAACAGCTGTAGTACCTGCTCTTTCCAATATCTATGTTTTTATGATTTTGTCTTTGCCATTAATGTGAAGTATTCTTCTTAGGCATCACATGTGAAAGCTATTTAGCTGTTTCTCCTAACATAAGATACATGAGACATAGCATAATTGAGTCAAATCTGGAAACAATTTGACAAGTGACACAAAAATAAGAATTACAGATTGACCATCAGATTACAGTATTATGGGTTGCTGACTGAATTACAACAGACAGTGAAGTTCATACTACAGACAACATTGCAGATATAGATAATATATTTCAAGTGAATGAAAGAGAAAAAGAAGAAGCAGAATTACAGTATGAGTCTATGAGTTTGATTGCTAACTCAACTTTACTGCTGATTATTTACCGTAGCATCTTCTCCTGCATAATGATTAATAATCCTTGCACCTCCAGGATGTCTCTTGGCAAACTCTGTCACATTGTAAACTTTACCACTGATCAGCAGCCACTGGTCATCTCGTGTGCTATGCTTCTTCACCTCCTCAAACCGTATGGGTGTATCTGGTGAGGAACTGGCTGCAGATCTGTCCTCCTCCTCCTTCAGTGTTCTAGCTCCTTTCCCCATTGTCTTCAGTTGTTATGGCATTCAACAGGTCATGTGCCACATTTGGGAGACCACAAGCCACTTCAGCTGGCCTGTCAAGGGAGATCTGTATTATCCTGAAAATAAAGCACAATTCAGTGATTTCCTTTGTTTTCTTCATTGTGGGAAACTACGACAAGAGAAGGTTGCTAACAGTAGGAAGAATTAATCTTTCATGAATACTTCAGTGCATTCACTCCTTCAAAATAATCTTTACTGTTTATTCGGTTCTATTTATGTTTCCTGGCCCAGAAAGAGGGTGACTTCCCTTGCCATTCATAAATCACTGTGTCGCAGGGCTTGTCCTATGTTGCAGAGGTGTCATGCTTAGTGACCGGCACCAGCACGTAGCATTTTACTAGTTGTCACCGGCTGGCGATATCGCATGTTGTATATTCCAGGATGTGAGCGCTATTAAAGGTCCCAAAATATGCAGGACTGGCCTACGTCCAGGACACAGTGCAGCCTATGTCCAATGACTGCATACGGCCTAGGTCGCACAACTGTATGCAGTGTATATTATAGGCTACATGCAGTCATGGGACATGAGCTGCATTCTCTCGTGGAACGTAGGTGGGTTGGGGTTAGGGCCAGTTCTGCATGTCTTGGGATAGTATCACAGGCCGGTGCATCACCCCCCGATTCATAGGACAAGCCTTGCAACATGATGATTCAAGAATGGCAAGGGAAGTAACTCTCTTTCTGGGGCGAAAATTGTAAATAGAATTGTTAATTTTTTTAACATCCTTAACTGTTTGAGTCCCAGAAAACGCATCATGCACTAACTGGTTACAACCCAGCGGCTCAATCGTGTGACAAGTGAAGGCTTTTAATTTACCACTGACTGGTAAAAAAGTATGGACCGCTCAATTTTAACTTCCTTTCGAGTTCTTTGTGTCTGATATCAGGCATGCTTATTTGGAAACGTGGTTTCCGAGCTACTGACTGTTTGAAAACAATATGGCCACTGAACAGTATTCTACATGCATGCCAACATGATTTACGGCTTTAGAAGCCTCAACTTTAAATAAAGCATGTGTTTGTAAGATTTATTTGAAGTTAGATGTTGTGAAGTAAACTTATTTTAGTAATTTATTTATAGTCAAACATTGATGAGGGATATGTCTAATGTGTACCTCACGTGAAGGGTACAACAATAGCAAAATTTGCTGGCACAAATAGAATAAACATTAGTGAAAAGACAATTTTCTTCAGTGTCAGTTAGTTCTAGTGCTATTCCCCTTATTATTTAGGAACATAGCTACACAATTACAGGCAAACTAAGTGTTAGATAAACTTGGTTTTGTGTGAAGTTATTGTTTTGAGAATCAAGTTAGAATCAAATAATGGTGCTCTGTTATGATGCTTCAAAAGATTCACTGGATCAAAATCTAATGCACAGATTGAGTTTATATTTTACTTATACATTACTAAGTGGTTCATATTCATTTCTGATTCATTTTGGATATATTTTAACAAGTTTTCCTTGAGTGCCATTGTGGTAAGTGGAAACAATTTATTTCATTTTACTAATTTCTGTCAAGATACCGTCTATTTGCTAATATTTAATTTAAATACTAATGCAGTTATATGTTGTAGCAGTATTCTATTAGTTTTCCCCAACAATCCCTCGTCACTTTGATTATGTGTAAGTTGCATGGCAGTTGAATTAGTATGGTCTGCTTTAATGCATACTTGTGAATTAAAGAAAATTGAATTACCACCCTTTGGGCTTTTGATGCTAAACCCCTGGGACTCAAAGAGTTAACTGATTCAGCAACTTAATGAGAATAAACTCAAAGATGCTGGCAGTGTGAGCGTATAGTATAGCATGAAAATGGAAACACAGAGACAGCAGGATCACAAATAACCTGAGACTTCACATCACAGCATACGCTATTTGCATCGCTGTCCCATTATGGAATGCAATTTTTCCATATTTTAAAGCTCCACTCCAGATGTTGTCAGGAGCCCTAATATAACATAATGGTTGAACAGAGTATCTGTGACTTGCACCGCATCCAGGTGATTTTCATCCACATGGTGGCATTTTGTATCACTGGGTGTTTATCACTGGTTGAACTTCATTTATTCACAGCATCCAAGCAGCAGAATGACTTAAGCTCAGCTACTTTTTATCTGTTAAACTAAACAGTCAGGTTTGGCAGTACAATACAGATACTGGCAACAGAGAGAAGAAGTAGTGGTAGTAGTTAGTTGTAGTGACTACTGTAGTCCTCTACTCTTTTGCATTTGACAGATGTAAACTGTAAACTGTTGTGGAAAGTGATTGCAGCTTTGCAAGGGTAGACAATTGGCTATAGGTCACCCTTGATTTACTTCTATTTAGAGTTGATACCCTTGTTACACATAGAACGATAATAATAATCAATCATCTTTCCTCCTCTTCCGTTCTTCCCCAATTATGTTATGTTTGTAGTGCTTGCTGTTTCACAATACACAAAAGCATGTAACTGTCAAGCATACAAACTACAAAACACACAGAATAGAAAAAAAAAAATTATTGCTATTTACAAAAACATATTTAGAAAATTAAACAACACAAGCTTTAACAAATACATTGTTGTTCATCTCATCCATTTCTTCTAGACTTTAGTCTTCCCAGAACTCAGAACTTGTGTTTTTAGTACATATTCTTACTACAGACCTTTCTTATTTGTATGCCGAATGTTAGTCTCTTGCCTCTCAGGCAGATGCATTCCGACTTGAAGGAAACATCCATAATTAGTCGACTCTTACGACATGCTTGTACTGGGGCAGTGGGTCTATTCTCTCCCTCGCCCGACCGTGCAGGATTTCATTAAATAACATCCTGTTTAACTGTCATGGTTAAAATGTGGATAACCATAAATTTTATGATTATGATAATATTATTTATTTTATCATTTTATGATAAAATGATAAAATAAATAATATTATCATAATCATTAATTATAATACATTATAATTAATAATAAATTAAGTTACGGTGCAAACTTAATTTATAATATTAACCAACTACAAAACTTACACCCACACAAGACAAATTTTCTGGTTTCCAACAGAAACAATCAATTACACTTGATAAAAACCAGGGACAATGCGGTGATATCATGTCATCCGGTATCGGTATCTACAACAAACACACACACATACACAGCACACACAAGTGTAGACTGCGGCAGCACGGATACTCGAAACAACGCAGCACAGGCAGCACACACAAGTGTAGCCTGCACCTGCAGCAGCACGGATACTCGGGGACAACACTCACAACACGGCCCTCGTCGACCGGTGGGCACACTCGATACTGGAGTCCGGGCAGGGTTGCCAGATTTTAAAAAAACGTCATTTTATGCCAAACCATAATGTGCCAAAGAATGCCAAATTAAGGGTAATATTGTACCCACTTTACATCAAAAGCTATAGATTGAATTCATCACTGTCACCCTCACTGGAACCAGTGGAAGATACAGCGTAAACCTTTTTGAAAATAAAATCTTTAAACATTGTCTCGGATGGGATGAAGTCTTTGCAACTCATCTATAATGATGGCAAAAAAGAAACGGGGGAATTTACCTCAGGGACTTAGAAACCCAGATTAAAGCCTTTAAATTAAAAAGAATCGGCCAAATCATCCAGTCCCCCAAAGCGAATCGCCTAGCTTTATATTACATAGCAATCAGGATCCATTACTTGAGGAAGATTGGTGCTGGCGATATAATATATATATATTTTAATTAGGCATGAACATTTAGTTCTATGTATGTGCTCCAATGTACTCCCCCGACCATGTACTCTCACGATTTCACTTAGATGATCATTTGTGCTTATTGCACAATGGCAGGTCATGCCTACAGCAAGTTGCAACTCTGCTGCCTTTAACTTTGTCATTACTTTGCCTAGGAGTCATTGTTGTAATAAGCTGTGACTGGCTTTTTGGCGGAGTTTTCATCCTGTGTTTTTAGGATTTTTCGTGATTTGATACTAATTCTTGGTGCATAAGTGCACTGACACAATTTACAATATGCTGCCTCTGATTCGTCTTAAGATCTTTTTGAGCCATGGGTATGTTTTCTTCCAGTTACTATTATACTTGTAATGTCATAAGATGCTTTACATTTTTTTTTAATGACGTAGCCATTGGTAAAAATAATACAATCTATCACAGAATGTTGAATGCTGAATTAAGAATCGACATCACAGCACTCGGGACACTCCCATAAACGCTCCGTCACCATTTTCAGCAGCAAGCGAAGAGTTAAAATTCCGATGGTACCAGTAACAGTCTGACTGTATATCCGTCTCGCCCCTCCCCCGAGTGTCGAGCGTCGGCCAGATCCCCTTGTAACTCCTAGCTGTGCCATTCTCTTCATTCCGTAATGATCTATCTGTTCCTCGGCACTGTTCACTCGCTCCCAAAGGGCCCTCACAACATCCAGCTTTTCATACATCTGTTAACCACCAAATGGTGCAGAACCGGCCAGTCTACACGCCTGCTCATCTCCCAACACACCGGCGTGACCTGGAGAAAATATCCAAATGCTGCTAACTACCCGGGACCTTTGAAGTGATGCTTGCCACTCTGCACGGAGCATGCCCGTCTCCACCTTTCTCAGCATGCTCTGTGAGTCAGTTACAATAACGACATGTGTGAACAGCTAATTCTCAAGCCAACAGAAGGCAGCAGTGACTGCCACCAACTCCATTCTCAAACTAGACGTTGTGATATCCTATGCCAGGCTTTATTGCGCCAAGCGACGTCCATTCGCCTTCGCTATGAACCCCCATGCACTTCGCCTGCCCCTCACCACAGAGCCATCTGTATATACTTGGGCGGAGATTGTCATGAATCTTTTGTTGAACTTTTGATTCTGCAGCACCAGCTGGCCAGTCCCTGCACTCACGTTCCAAAGTGATTAGAACCCTACACAAGTCTGAAACATAATCGGACACTTTGACCCACTCCTTTCCTCGCCTAAATTTATCAAGCCTGCACACATGTCGAATTGTGTCTTCAGCTTGCGCCATCCAAGACTTTCTTCTTTTCAGTCTGTGACCCTTAGCTCTATCGAGGGCTTCATGCAGGAGGTGCCTCTTTTCCGCAACTACTCTGAGATATGACTTTGCTTGCAGAACTTTGAGCCTATCTGCAACAGTAGGCAGTGCAAGTATATATTGCAAACATACTACCGGGGTATCTCTTATATCCTCTATATTTTCTGTCCTCAAGTAGTTTCTGAACAGTCTGGATCACTTGGTACCAGTGATGGGTTTTGGTTTTATATCCAGCATTTATTGTTGTAGATTAACATAAATTACAGAGAGCCTTGGTTTATCGAAGTCATGATCCGTTTAGGAAGACAACAAAGACAAAAAGAAATGGCGCGAATTTCCGTTAGTCCGTACCAGGATATCACAACAAAGTGAAACTGAAATAAAGATGTTAACTGTAGGTCTACATTGCTTTTAGTAAATCTGCGTGTTTTTAACTGAGGAACCATGAAGAAAATGTGAGCACATCTTCATTTAAAAAAAAAGTCAGGGAAAACCCAAATATGCGTGAATATGCCAGTTCATTATCTTATACCTGTTTAATTTCAAGTATGCCAAATTTTTGGAATCTGGCATAAAAAATGCCAATATTGCAACCCCGGTCCGTTGGGGGTTGGGGGGGGGGGGGGCCCTCCAGGGAAACTCGATTACTGCATTTCGTTGGCTGTTCTCGTTCGAGCTGATTATCTGTCTATATTCTACAGTGCCGGATTCAGACTTAACGAGGCCCGACGCTGTCTAAAGCCCCGAAACCCCGCCAGTTGTTTTTATTAAATCAGCTAATATAAGATTATTTTTAAAATATATAAACCATTTCAATATAAATATAATACATAGGTTAGTTGCGTATCCTTTACAGGACGTTGCAGAACCAACCCTAACAGCCCCTGGCTGTTGTGTGGTTTTTCTCGGAAATTTACGTCCATTAGGTTGCTATTGCCTTCTGTACGGTCGGCTTTCTTAATACCACTGTCGAAACCAACGCAAGGCGCATGGCCCGCAGCTGGGGTCGAACCCGGAATCCCGGCATTACGAAGCGTTCGCATCGACTTAGCCACAGAGCCGACAGACAGACAGACAGACACACACACACACGCACGCACGCACGCACGCGCGCACACACGCACGCACGCACACACACACACACACACACACACATATATATATATATATATATATATATATATATATATATATATATATATATATATATATATATATATGTCATTTTTAATTTTTAGTAAAAGAAGTATGCCTGACTATCGCCTCCCAAAGAGACTATTTTATGGCGAGCCCCAGCAGGAAATGCGCTATAAGGACACTCAAAATTGCTCTCAATTCTTTTGGCATCAACACAGCAACATGGAAGGCGATGTTCTCCAATGTCTCTCTTCTCATTACGTGGCGAAAGAATAATGTTTGTCTCTTTCTTATTGTTGTATATAGAGATAAAAAAATGTGTTTAAAAAAATAACATAAATTGTATTATAAACCCTTTTTTTTAAAATGCATTTAAAATGTTTTTTTTTTAAAAATTGCAATTAAAAAAAAAAAAAAAAAAAAAAAGAATTTGTGAGTCCCTTGCAGATTGTGAGGCCCTGATCTTAGCTTATACATAAACGCAACACTGTCTGTCTGTTGCCTGTCTGTCTGTTGCCCGTCTGTCTGTCTGTTGCCTGTTACTTTGACTATGTGTTGCCTGTCTGTTTGTCTGTCTGTCTCTCTGTTGCCTGTCAGTTTGACTATCTGTTGCCTGT